TGTACAGCAATCACAATTTTGTGTGATTAGTTTAAATATTAGAGTGAATTGGCTTGTTATCAAAAAGTTATGAATATTATTTGTGTTCTATTATTAGATCTTTATGTTATTTTAATTTTTAAGTGAGTATGAGCATGTAAAATATGAATATTTAAAAATACAATAAATTCACTTAAAAATTGAATTATTTTAAAAATCACAGTCACGGATAATGATCTTACTTTTAAATAATGATTATACGTCAATTCACTTTAATATTTAAGCTAACATCATATAATTGGAACTGTTATACTTACATTTTGATATGTTACACGTTAGTAAGATGTTAGTAACACATACGAGTAGGATGTCCTCTTAAACTGTTAAGAACTATCAGTACCAACATTGAACACATTGCATCGCTATAATATTTATCTAAAATATTATTTAAGTATAATATTACAGAACAAACACTTTTTTAAATAATACATTTATTTTTTTATAATTCCTATAACCTAAATTACATTACTTTTTTTCTTCAAATAATTTAATTTAAATGTCAGAATTTGCGTTAACAAAATGGTCTAATATTTAATTGTTTAAATATTATAAAATTATTATGTACCAATAAAACAACAACCCAATTAATAAATAATTGTAAACTGATTAGTAAGTTAGTTATACTATTTTTAAAATATAAAATTTTTAGAAGCTACAAACTAATATTATTCATATTTTCCTTCTTTTTTTTCTTCTCTCCACCCATCTATGTACATCTCTTGTCTGGAATATTACATAGAATATTAAACACTATTTGATTATTTGTATAATATAATTACTTAATTTTTTTCCAGATCGTTTTTCCAAAGTGTATGTGTTCTAGGTTACTGTTTATTACCAATTGTAATAGCCTTGATAGTATGCAGATTTATTTTAATATTTGAACAAACAAATTTCTTATTTTTTATTCGATTTGCCATATCAATTGGTTCATTTTTGTGGTCCACTTATGGTAAGCAATAAAGCAATAACATAGACATTTTTAAAAATAATTATTATATTTTTGTATTTTAAATTTTAGCCTCTGTTGTATTCCTTGGAGATAGTCAACCTCAAGGAAAAAAAGCTCTAGCTGTTTATCCAATATTTTTGTTTTACTTTATCATGTCATGGCTTGTATTATCACATACAGTATAGCGYTGTTGATCAAAAATACATTTTGAGATGTTGCGTTAATTTTGTTTGTGACTTGTAATYATTTAATTATTTATTCTGTTTTAAATTGTTTACTGTTAAGTACCTAATTATTAATGTTTGGAGCTTGATGCCTTCAATGTAAATCACCCTGTCATGTGAATAAAAGTACAATGTTTATTGTTTCTGTGCAATAAATATGTCATAATATTATTTGTTATTGTATCGTTCTATTTCTTTCTTCAAGTTTTGAGTATATTTATTTTTTTTATTTTCTCTTATTATAATGCTATTCAATTATATGGTTAATTGTTTATGATAAATTATTTTAATCAATGTTAAATAATAAGAATTGATAATATTGATCACAATAAGTTATTTGTCTAATTACCTTGAATGATCATGTTCATTCATATACTAATAAACACATTATTTTTAACCTTGCTCTTGTTATACATCATAATATAATACATTTGTCACTATTTAAAACAAAATATGTTAGTGTATAATAATTTATGTTTTGAATTGGAACT